CTCCTTCTCCTGTGCCTCCCTTTCATCCCTTCTATATGTATATTTAGCATGACCAACTGGCGCAATCGTGGCGATACACTCGATTTGGCATCCAGCCACTGTTCCCACGCGCGTGATGACGTCGCAAGACTGCGTTATCTAACGCAATGCCGCACGCGCCGTCGCGGTGCCTTTGTTTCTGTTTCGTGCGACTGTACATCGCGCTTTTACGTCACACTTAACATTGTTCCGCGAACGACCTGAGAGGTACGATGTCACGCGTCAGCCGACATAGTGCGCTACTTTGACGGAGACACGACAGGCGCAGGAGGGGCTTAGGAGCGTTGAAGCAATCTCGCGAGAGAGAGAGAGAGAGAGAGAGAGAGAGAGAGAGAGAGAGAGAGAGAGAGAGAGGCGAGCTTCGCCCTGTAGCTCCCCAGCGATATCAAATCGAGCAACGGATACACGTATTTGCGGGGCGGACGTCGGGGAGGAAGTGGGTAACGAATAATCAATCGGATGTATAGAATGTGCGACTATATAATCGATGGAATGGAAATCGAGAATTAAAGCCAAGGTATTACGTCCCGCGCGGAACGTTAATTGCACTCGTCCGATTTTCTAGATATGCGATAAAATTGAACGAGTTTCTCCCTCTCTCTCTCTCTCTCTCTCTCACTTTGCGAACGAGAAAAATAACAGATCGATGAGAAAGAAGGGGAAATCTCACTCGTGCGGTTTTGCGAATCGCGAGCGACAGGCGTGCAGTTCCTCGAGAAAACAGCGAACGGAAGGCGGGATCGTGCGCTTCTGCGGGAAAGCCACTGATCGTGCTTCGTAGCTTGGCAACAACGCGCCTTGCTGCAACTGCATCGTATCCACTGCACTTTACTGCATCGCGCTAGGCAACATCGCAATAGCCGTCCGTTGCACGGCGGCGATACACGCGTGGATCGTTGCGTGCGCGTGTACGTGAATGTGTCGTCGCGCCGTCAGTAGAGGAACGAGAGGAGGACGAGAGGAGAGTCGAGCTTGGAGTGGGGGAAGGGACACGGGCAAAGGACGAAAGGGGTACCGCGGGTACAGGGAGGTGACGGGGAATAGTAGGGGAAAACGTCTGCGAGCGCGTAGCGAAACGAGCGCGAGATGAGATCCTTTAGCGCGACAATGGCACGCAGGGATGAAAGGACGACTTCTCCCTCCTCGCACACTTGGTCGCGCCCGCGAATCAGGTGCTCGGGCGCCGTCAAGGCTACCGCTGCAGCCGAGCTTCTCGTGATGTTTTCAGCGGGAAACTCGCCGCACGTGCTTTCGCTCCAATTAGCCGCGCGCGCGTCGTCGGCGTATTCGTGTATTTTATTTCGCAGCTTTTCCAGCTATTTTCGCGAATTACGAATGATAGCGGTAAGCTTATTATGGATGAGTACTCTCTGAAGCGCAATCAGTGTATTCTTTACTGAAATGCTATATTTGTAGTAGTTCAGTTATAAATATAGCACTATAATCGCTAAAATTTTGCTGAAAAGGTCAATTAATACTGATAGTTATCTGTGCAGATAGGAATGGAGGAGAGAAAGTATTAATATAACTTTATACGTCTCTTGAGTGTACTCTCTTTAAAAATCTCATTGAAAGGTCACTTATTAAAATATGCTTAAAGGTGATTTAGTATATTTGTGCTTTTAACTTATGTGTCATTTTAATAATTAGCAATTAATTTCTTCTTTCAATTTGATAAACTTATGAATGATATCAATAAAGATAAGTGAATGCATCTTGGAGACATAGGAGATAACGGTTAAGATACATAGTAGCAATTATTCCCATTATTGATGCACTTTGTGAACACAGACTGTCATTGCACGCGAGGCGTGGAAGCTGTTAATTTCATCGTTACAAATACAAAAAGTTAAATTTAATATAATGTATAACGAATCTGTGTATTACAAATTTTTTGTAGTAAAATCCTACTTTCATTGGTCAAAATCGATGAGATATAAGACGCAACAGTAAAATGAGAATGCTTTCACCTAAAATCAGTGAATACTCATTGATCATCAGTGAAATAATCTTTTTATTAACTCCGTCAGAAACATTTATTTATTTCAAAAGAGTACAGTTAGATGGAGTCCGAAATTTTAGACGAAATTTTAAACAAAATTTTAGACACACGTTTCGTTAGTATTTGACGAATACATGGAATGTTCACCGATTCAGCGAGTTGTTTTTCGTATTTCTTAAAATTCCGGTTTCTGATCTTTTTCAATGCGATACGCATCAAGTGCGTCCCATTTTGTCAAGGACAGTTCTCTCCAAAATTTAGTGAAGAATCGCACGTCACGCAGAGTGAATGTGTTTCAAGAGTTTATTCGTTTATCGTTGTAATTATTTCAACTGTGCTGCTCTTCGAAACTCCGAACACTTTCGCGCATTGCGAAAGAGCCGAATAGAGGCCGCGGGGTATGATTTGGGTCATGACCTACATTTTGTACTCTCCTCTGCGCACCGTTCTCCCCTTCTCTTTCCATCCTTATCTTCGTCTATCTGTCTCCATCTACCCCTTCCACCGCCTGTAATGCTCGCTCGCGTTAGCGCGACGTCATACGTTACAGCGATCACATACGAGCATCTTACGTACACGTCGTACTTAACGACCGCTACACACACATGCCGGAATATAAATGATTATCACTTCGATTTACGACGTTTATCTTCGTCTGTTATCAACGTAGTCGTCGCATCCTTTCGCAATGTTAATATCTTAGCATAACGCGAGAATTCGCCAAGTGATACGACGCCGTAATAAAATCGGAGACTGCCAGGTCGTGAATTATTGCAACGCAATTTGAGTTATTGCGTACACACACATACAAGTGATTATTAATGAAATGTGACGTGGATTTATTCCCTGGCATTTTGAGACCTCGAGGCGCGCGCGATATCAAACAACATTGCATGCTTTATCGTCGTAACTAAACTTTGTTAAAAGCTCTCGACTAAGTGTTGCTAACGAGTGTGCTAACGAAGCTAATTAACCGTAATATACAAAAATATGACATCATTTCCAAAGTTTCGAAAATATCTCTCCTCCAGCGAGTTTTGCGAGCCGTCTTGCCTCGCAAAGATGAAACGTCAATTATATCGTTTACGTTTTCCCAAAGTTTTCAACGTGCTTTCGGGAAGTGAGAAGCCACACGAACTTGGCAAAGTTTCGCGTCGCATCGGATGTATTCGCGGATGCACGTGCTACGTGTTCGCCAAACTTATTCGGTGGCCACTTTGCTGCACAAAGGGTATCGTCGCGAATTACAGCTTTCAGGGTAGGACGGCGGGCGTTTGTCATCTTCGCGGAAAATCAATTTCGGGGCGCGCTTGCTGCGCGAAGCGTGGAAATGAGTTTACCGTAGCGGCGAGAATACCTGAACAGACGAGACCCTATCGTCGCGCTTTTACGCGAACGCGAAAGAGATACGACCGCGAACCGACGTGCGTTCGCGCGTCCCCGACACACACATACACACGGCACAGATATTTTATTCCGTTCTCTTGTACGACGACGACGTCGTCGTCGTCTCTGCCGTATATCGTCGCGGAAACGGCGCCGTGAAAATCTCGAAATTGCTCGCTGCCGCGACGGTCGCTTTAAAATTATAAAGCGCCGTGAGTAAAGTTTCTGCTGCTCCTACCATCGTGCACCGGCGGATGTTGACTCGGTTAACATTACATCACCGGGAGAAATGGTGAACGAGCGAAGGCACGGACGAGCCGGCGTAACTCTCCGACTATTTCGACGCGATGAGTTTTCCGCGGTTTTCACGGCGCTTTTGCCCGGAGAGCCCGGCGATCGGCCGCGTCGTGTCTATACCGGTCTACTGCATTCTCGATAATAACGTTACCGTCGTGCATTAAAGATCGGACACGGTAGCGTCGTGTCCACGATTGACCGATCGGACGGCGCGATTAGACCGGTAAATTCCAAGGTCCGACAACCCGACATTTGAATTCCCGAGGTAACGAGGCACTTATGCGCGCCGAATATTTAAGTTGGTGAAATTTCAGATGAAATAATCGCCCTGTACGCACCCCGTAATCGTTCAGATCGTCGTGGATACCGCGATGAGGGGATACCTGTTATTCGGCCTTTTTTCTTTAAAATACCACACATGCGTTGGAGCTTATTATAGCCCACGTGTGCTTTTTTTGTAAATACTAAGTATACAGGCTCTAGATACACACACACACACACACATACACACACAACAGACGGTCGTCTCCTTCGCAAGAGATCGCGCGGTCCTTAACAGATCGGCATCGCGTCGGTCTCTCGTTATCGCGAGGTCGCGTGCGAATTTGCCGTAACGAGTAAATACCGATAAGTTACCGGTGCGCCGGAAACTTTCGCGCGGTCGACCGGGTGCGCGGTGGCGGGCGGGAGAGATTCGCGACGCTAGCGGGGATAGACGTAAGAGTGCGGGAGGTCGAGCGTTACGTTGTGTTGGGGTTGTGTGGGCCACGAGGGGCAGCAGAGGGAAGGCAGGAACGGCAGAAGGAGGAGAAGGAGAGGGGTTGGCGGGGAGGGAGAGACGGCGAGGGATGGGGGCGCGCTATCGGTGAGCGCCTCGACCGAGTCGGCCGCCGTCGGCCACGATCAGCAGAGCGCAGTTCGTATCGGGCCTCCGTCGTAGTCGGATCGTAACGTTCTGTCGCGCGCTGTGCTCCGTTTTCTCTCTCTCTCTTTCTCTCTCTCTCCTCTCTCTTACCTTTCTCTCCCCCTCGCTCCCGTCCCGCTCCCTCCCTCCCGTCTCCCCCGCAGTCCGTCCACCCGCCTGCCGCCCGTCCGCCCGCTCCCCGTCAACGACCACCGAGTTCCGCACAGCGGGAAGCAGCCGAGCTTTTCCCCGAACAAGGCGCGTCCTCTCCCTCATCGGTGCTCCCGGTGTATGTACGCGCTTGTGTGTGAAGTGATACTTGGCCGATCGAAAGGTGCGAGAGCCAAGTGGCGGAAGGATTTATCTGTCTCTCTCTCTCAGTTGTATCGCGGGGAGACGCGTGCGTGTCACTCTTTCACCGTCGCGCGCCCGCGCGCGTGCGTGCGTGCGTGCGTGTGTGAGGTGAGGCGCGCGCGATGTGCTGTCATCCGCGTCGCCTTCGATGCGAAAGCATGCGAGGATACGCGAAGTCGCGCGTGAGTACGAAGACGCGGAAGGGAGGATCAGTTTGCTGCGTTCGAAGAGTTAATAAATATCCGTTAGAAATATTAATCGCTGCGAATTTCGTCGCCGCTCGCAAAATATTTCGCGCAATGGAACGCGCGCTCTCTCTCTCTCTCTCTCTCTCTCTCTCGTAGTCATATGCGCGGTGAGTCGCGTCCGGTCGACGGCGAATCCTCGTCGATTCTCGCAGCCGCGGCACGCTAAAGCGAACGTCACGCATTTCGTGCGATAAGCGACTCGGCGACATAAAGCTGACTCGGCGCGTCCTTACGGAGAGATTACTGCCGCTCGCCGTGACTCGGCTCGTTTCGACGAAAGCGCGCGAAACGAGAATTCTCGCGCGAGCGCCAGCCGCTTTCGACGTCGTGTGCCTCCTCCTCCTGCTCCTCCTCGTCCTCGTTGTCGTCGTCGTCGTCGTTTGTTCGCGCGTCGTTGATCAGTCGTCGAGTAGATTTCACGTGACAGGAAACGTCATGGGTGTTATCTTGACGAGTCATCGGCGGCCTGAAGATTTTGTTACACGTTTCTCCACGCGATCGGCGAGTTGGACGAGTTTGTCAACGCGTCACCAGTCCGTCGATACGATCCGGTTCGCATGCAGCGCTCGAGACTAAGGGCGAGACTCGTACGCGTCTTGTAAAAAGTCTTGTCGTGACATTAGAGCTGACGCGCAAACAACGTCTCTACGTCGGCGTCTGAATCATCGATGATCTTCGACAAGGTCGTCTCTGACGCGCTCTTTCGTTCTGAAAAGTCCATTTAAACCCAACGCACATGTCACTCCCATTGAACGCGATACATCTCGGCGACATTTCGGAAACGAATAGTGTGCGACTTGAGATGAAGCAATTGTTTAAACAAAAATGCCTGACACGAAGGCGTCACGTCATCGAAGTTGTCAATAACGAGACTTAAAAAGCCCACCGCTTAGCTCGTTCGTTGAACGTGAAATCGCGGGATCTAATGTGTCGTTCACAGTTTTCGGAGTACAAACGAACGAACGAACGCACTCACGCACGCACGCACTTGTTTTACGTAACGAAAACGCGTCGGCAGAACGTTCGCTCGCTCGCTCACTCGCTCGCTCGTTGGTTCGTTGTCTCGCTCGCGCGCGCGTGCGCTGCGTGTAATCTATCCGTCGTCGGGCCTCGCGTCGCTCGGCGGGGTGTACGGTGTAGGGGGAGGGGAGAGCTCTTCGATCATCGGCATTACTGGCCTCCCTCGTGCGTCCTCGTGTCTCGTCGGATCGGCGCGGCGGCCGATCGGCTGGTTCCGTGCGCCGCCGCCGCCGCCGCCGCCAGTCTTGCTCCAGCTCGCGCGCGCTACGGATCCTCGCGCTCCGATCCGCCACCGCGGCAGGAATCGGCAATAATACAGTGGCGCGGAACATAGGGGAGATACACCTACTTATACCTGTCTGTCTTATACCGCCCGCCTGTCTGCCCACCTATCCACCTACGACGTGTTTTTTCTGTGCTTTCCAGCGAGAGGAGTACCGATCGACTTGCAGCCGGCTGTTGTTCTCGTCGTTGCCCCGTCGCATCGGTACGTCGCACTTCGTACCTCTCGTCGTCTACGTCGGCAGTGCGCGCCTTGGATACGCGTCACGCATGCACGCATGGACAAGCAACGACGACGCGGCGGCACTGCCCAATGATGGCCGTGCCGGGTTTCACCGTTGACGTAGTGATGTATTATTAGTGGTGCGCGTCGCGGGAAAGTGTGTGCCGCTCTGTGCTCGCTTCTGTCCGGTAATCCCGCCTCTATCCGTGTGTCCTCCGCGAACCGTGCGCGGCCGATAATAACGCGGAGAGTGTAGCCGGGAATCAGTGATCGCGGCGAAGGGAAGGCACGATACGTATTTCGGCCCATCCGTGTGTTGCGTGAGTGAGAGTTTCATATCAGTGCAACGACGGTTTTCGCTCGCTCTGTGGATTATCATATTGGATATTACTGGTACGCGCTCCGAGACGCAGCCACGTCCGACGACCGTCGCCAGCCGCACACCGGTTAAGCACTCGGATTCTGGTGAGTGACTTTGTAGCCATGTATACACATTTTCGGTTTCTTTTTGTCTCTCTCTCTCGTTTTGCCTCGCCTCGCCGTCGCGAGATCGATGCGAGATCCGAAATCGCGCGACTGAGTCCGCGCCGTCGCGTTTATCGCTCTTGATCGGCTGCCATCTTGTTACTTGTTGTCGCGAGACTTCGCGAGCGTGTTTACGACGTGAACTCGCCTCTGCTCGCGCCTTTCGGCATAGTTTCCGTGCGCCGACAGATCCGATAACTCGCGCGGAGAGAGGCATCTCTTATTCGCGAAAACCCGTTAGGCACTCGCGACTATCTCCCCTTCAGAGTTGACGTTTTGTTTATCAAGCTTGAAATTATTATTGTCCACGCGCGTGCGTCCACTTTGATTTCTCGTTTTTTACGAGCGAATGCAAAACACGAGTCGATACTGGGAGTCGATAAGACGTTTCGGTTTCGGGAATCGCGCGAGATTAACCGCTTACTATCAGTAGGACGGACAGTGACAGTGCAGGTTCGCGCGTTGTTTGTTTACCGCTATCCCGTCTGAAACGACCGTACGACGGGGAAGAATGAGAATTCGATTTTTTAACCTTCACGTGTACTCTCGGCGCGACGCGATTGAACGTGACGCGTGCTCCAGATGAAATAAAAGCTCGCGACGGTCGTGTAAACATTCCCGAGTGTACGCTACTAGACGAACAGTCGGAGTTTAGTCGCTTGCTCTAGCGCGACGCTTCATGCGGAATTACGTCTCGTTAACGCGCATCACTTTACAGCGAAGTCTCGAGCGCTCGACGACGATCTTGTTCTACCGTCGCGGTAATTCTACTCAGGAAAATTGCATTTTCCGCGAAACATGTCGTTTCACGGCGCAATCGGGGACGATCCTCGCATTTTCATCGCGGTTTTTCCCGTTTTCGCCTCGGGATTCGCGACGATCATTCGCGATAGAATTTCCCTTCGCGACCGCTATAATTGTATCTTGCCACGTAACACTTTTTTACCGATGCGAGTTTTCTAATAAAAAATATAAAAGAGCACATATATCTCCGAGGCCGGAATTTCATGTTATAAAGCTGTCGACGACAGCGGTGCGCCCGAGGTTACGAAAATAAAGACGGCGGCAGTTGCACTCGCGTCATGAAAAATATTTGCGCTTGCCGAATCAAGTTTTATTTGCGAACGATCGGCGGGCGCGAGTTAACGACCCGACCGGCGGCGCGCAAAACTTCCTTTTGCCTTTTTCCGCGAAGTTGTCGAACTCCGCGCGCATGTGTGTGTGTGTATGTGTGTGTGTGTGGTATGTGAAAAAGTCCGAGCTCTCGCGCGCGAGCGCACGCATCTGATCAATCGAGAATAGCGTTGCAAATCGATTTCCGTAATGTCGCGTGTGTGCATTTAATGCGCGAAATAAGAAACAGCTGTTACAAATGGTCTACTTCGACTCGCGGCCGGTCTCTGGACATTATTACTTGGTCGCTTTGCTATTCGAATGTGAAACGACTTCCGGGATTCAATACCGCGTGACAGTTAAGTTTTCCCGACGAGTATAATCGTGCATACAAGCGCATTGTTCCTCGGTCTGATGACTGCGAAGCATACAAACACAGAAATGCACGGAAAAAAATAGATTTTAGCCGCGAAGCTGGTTTGCTGAGAATTTGCTGCTGTAGCTAAAATTTTTACCATTGTTATGTATATAGCTACATCATATTAATAGTCGTAACTTGAAACTTGTCCCATGTGAAATGTGATTTTAGAGTCAGATTTGGGTTTTTTATTGGAAATACATGTATGCGATATCGTTTACGTTTGTAATCGCGATTTAAATAAAAAATTTGCATCTAACTTTAAATTAAAATCTGAATATCTCACCTGAAACAAGTTTCAGATAACGACTATTAATATGGATTTTGTTTTACGTGAGGTATTTATGTATGTATTTACAGCTGGATCTAAATTTTTTATTTGAATTATGTAATATATATATTACGTTAATTAACGTTATATTTGCAATCGTGTTTTAGATATGAACAGCTCATATCTAACTCTAAATTAAAATCAGAACATCTCATCTGAAGCAAATCTCAAATAACAACTCTTAATACGGGTCTCAGGCTCGTTTCAATAGTCGTTACTTGACATTTGTTATATGTGAGATACTCATGTCTGAATTTAGAGTTAGATTTGAGTTTTTTTATTTGAATTATAAATAATATGTGTGACGTTACATTCGCGCTTCAGCTGACAAGCTCTCATCTAATTCTAAATTAAAATCTGAGTATTTCACCTGAGGCAAGTTTCAAGTATCTATTGGTACAGATCTTAGCTACCGCACACAAGATTCTCGCTGCCGCACTGCTGCCAAACTTTCATTTTTCCGTGTACGATTTCTAACACGCGACAATTTATCTCCTCGCTCGTTCGATTTTACGCGAATGTACTTACGCGCGATATGACCGGCGGGATTTACCGGAGATAGCCATTGAAACTACGGCTCTACGCAATTCGCGCGGCCAAGGGGAGTGGAGAGTCGCCAACTTTTTTTAAATGCTTCTACAAACTACCGGAACCATAAATATCCGTTATCGAACTTTGCGAACAGAGTATAGTCGCGAGTTTGGAACGCGGGCAGTCCGTGACTATCTCCGACGAGCCGGTTGAATTATTCACGAGCCCACTCGTAAAAACCGACAAATCGCGACGAGTGCAATTCGACGAAGCTGCGGCGAAGAGGAGAGAGCGAAGTAGATTTGCGCCGCGCGTATCTCAGCTCAGGAAAACGGAATAATCCGTACAATCATATTCTTTGGAGGCGCGTGCGTCGCTCATGGAAATATATTTCAGACGCGTCCGAAGAGAAAGCTTTCGGAGCTACGCGACGACTGCGATGTCAGCCTGGTCACGGTATAGTTCGCGTTCTCCTCGCCGCGAACGATATTATTTCTGGCACGGCACCAGCGGACGGCGCCCGATCGATCTCGTCCTCGAACGGGCGATCGCGAACGTCATCGTCGCGCGGCCGCGCGCGCATGTGTGTGTGTGTGTATTCACATATGCGTTCGTGTGTGCGTTGCGATCGATCGCGAACCGCGTTTTCGCCGCTTCCTTTCAAGGGGAGAGGGGCGGGTGGGAGAGGTGGGAGGCGTTGAAGGTGGAGGAGGGGAGAAGGGGGATAAACGCGAAACACGTTTACCGAGACCCCGGAAATAATTACCGCTAAGCAGAGCCGCCGAGTCGTCGGCAAATTGAATTGGCTTCGAGTGCCGGCACAGTTCTCTTGGCAGCCATCGTCGCCGTCTCGAAATATATATCCGAGAGACGATCTCGCCGTAAATTGTAGTCTCACGTTAGCGCGCGACCCCGGCTTTGCCGATGTTTGCAAACAAACTCTGGGCCCGCCGCATCCTTCGCCGCTGCCGCCGCGGATTTTGCATTCCCGTCCCGACGCGCTCCACGTCTGGGTTTTTGCCGCGAGGTGCCTCGTTCGTCCGTTTGTACATACGTACGCGTTTGCCCTCGCGAATCGCGATTTTCATATGGCAAAACGTCGCATCGGGCCCGTTCGCCGTTTTGGCGGCGGCGGGATTCCGCTTGGATGTTACGGCACACAGAAAAATATATGCTGCTTTCAAATAAATATTACTTGTTTCAAGCATTTCATAAGTTTACATACTCGCAAATTCATCATAACTTTATTTCTCTCTCATGAGCATCAAATTTACTTAAAATCCCAGTAGGTTTAGCATTTCAGTGAAGAATATTAAATTGAAACGAAAACTCAATTTACTACATATAGTCGAATCAACTTTTTCTTTGGTAGTTTTACGATATTTTTTTTATAAAAAAAGAGATCTCTTTTTATAAAAAAAGAGATCAAACACGATAAAAAAGAATTAGTACTTTTAGAATTTGTGATGAGTATACTTTAAAGCTGATATCAGGAAAATATTCTTTGTTGAAGATAACCATTGTTTAAAAAAAAAAACAAAGTAAACTGAGTAATTGCTTTTCTCAGCAGTAGAATGATATTTTTCTGCGTGCAGTCTGGCGACAAGAGAGAGGGAAAGAAAGAAGTAGTTTGGTGCTTTTTATTATTTCGCCTTGATCAAGACAAGATCTCTTAAGTAAAAGTATGACCCTTGTCTTTGAACTTGTGCCTCTTGTGATATCTTTTGTATCGCGTTATATTTGCTCACACATGTGTGACGGATTAACATTGTTTGAACACTGCAAGTGGGAATTGACGCAGTTAATACGCGTACATGTGTAACACAATCGGTGCAGAGTGCGCGAAGGAATATATGAATAACCGCGCTCATTAAATCTCCGTAATCGCTTTAATCGCAAACGAGAGAAATGTACGGCGCGGGCGCGTATAATACTGTAAATAAGTCGTATATACGACGTCTGCAATAACAGGATGAATATTCAATTAGCGAAAACAGCTTTGCGTGCTTGGAAAATGAAATAATAACGGATACAAAACCGACAAGAGCTCGCGCGCCAAAACGCGCGACATACTTTGCCGTCACTTTGGTGCATTCAGTGACTATCCACCGTAACCCGGGTATAATTCGATTACTATCAAGTAATTTATGCAAAGCAGCTCGCTAAACGAAGCGGACAGTGAACTTTTCGACGACGGAATTATTTCTCCCTTTCGAAGACCGTTTTATCGCTCGTCGACCGCCACTCCGCCCCTCATCCGACATCTTCGGAACTTCACCGAGTTGTACGGCGAACTTTTTCTCGGTCTGTCGGAATTATCATCTTGAGAATTATCTATATCTTTCGAAAAAAAAGCGCGGTCTTCTCGCCGATAATGCACGGAAACTTTCGACGCGTCTTATCAGAGCCACGTCGGTCGGTTAATAAAAAGCTGCGGAAAGTTGCTGGGAGTATTATTATGCGAATAGTGGGTGTTATAACTCTCGACGGGAATTTCTTTGTTGTCCTTAAACAGGCTTGCAGATCATAAGATATATTAGTTTGCGG